ACACACACACACACACACACACACCACTGCAGCCACCACCATAGAAGACAACACAAAAATATGCAAACAAAAAGAGACAGACAGACAGACAGACAGACAGACAGACAGACAGACAGACAGACAGACATATATACAGACAGACAAAAAGACAGACAGACAGAGACAGAGACACAGAGAAAGAGAGAGAGGCTTGTATATAAACACTACATTGGCGCACAAAAATAGATTATGATGGTGAGTTACACGTCCCAGTTATGCTCTCTGTATGTCCATACGTTGTTGATTAGCTCACATTGTGAAGTATCGTGGTAAAAGTAGGCGCTCGTCACAATAGTGACATCTAAGAAAGCGCATTTTTCTGGCCGTCTAGCAATTTTTTTCGATTTTTTCTTTTTTTGTTGTTGTTGTTTTTTTGGGGTAGCCTAATATCTTTTATGTTTATTTAGAATCAATTTTTTTAATTTTTATTTTTTTGGCGCAACACTTTTTATAGAAAAACGTTTCTAATTCTGTGTGGAGTTTACTCAAAAACGTTAATTACAGGCATATTCATCATCATACAGTGCCAGATCTGCGACAGACATCGGCGATCATGGTTCACCATTCATTCCTTTGCTCGGATGCTCTAAAAAAAGCTACGTTTCCCTGATCTTTCCCTGTTACCCATTTGTTTAGGTTCCCTAAGTAGGTTGTTCTGGACCTACTCCTGCCTCGTCTGCCTTCAATTTTGCCAGTTAGAGCGAGATGTCCAAAACCCTATGTCTATTCAGATGTCCCAAAAACTGCATTTCTCGTTTCCTGATTGTTTTTAACATTGAGCATCCCACGTGGGCTTCATCAAGCACTACCTCATTTGATTTCTTTTCCTTCCACGATACTCTAAGCAGTCTCCTAAGAAACCTAATTTCTGTTGCTAATATTATAAAATGTAAATTTGCCGTTTTCAAGGACTCTCAAGCTTTGGAATTCATCAAACTTTGGTAGCCATTTTTTCGCTTTTTGTATGTCTGAAACCAGTCGACCCCCACCTTCGTCAGTCGTATATATCTCAACTTTTATCCAAGGCAGATTGGTATTCATTTTTAAAAATGAAAGATAAGGCAAATGAACATACTTTAGGATGACACCAAGAACTCAACATGCCGACAAATTGACGATCACCTGAATCTACTGCGTCGTGACACAACTAATGTGGGACAGGCCGGGGTTCCATAGACCTGTACCTCCTTTGCCCCCTCCTCTGGGCTCCCTACTCTTTCTGCCCCTTTCTGCTGCTACTCCTTGACTCCTTCTTACTTCTGTCTTTCAGCAACACCTCTGGTCTTATAGTAGGTAAGATCTAACATCTAGCATTCTCGGAAAAGGGCGAAAAGTCTCAGAGGTCCCGCGTGCAAGTTGCGCATCATGTTAAAGATCCCTTTGTGGTCCAAAATCGATAAGAGTAGGCTTCGGCGCCACCCGGGCAAATTTCAAAATTCCTACCAAAATGGAAAATGTTTAAAGGGCACCGCGTGCTCATAAGGCCTTACGCAGTTGCTAGCGCCGTAAAACACTAAAACAAATCGACCTGTACTAGTGCCGTCTAGATTGTTGTGGGTCATAACGACACCGCAGGCAGCATACTTGGGGGGCCGCACCTCGCTGGTTACGGTAACTGTGTGCATGTGTGTGTGTGTGTGTGTGTGTGTGTGTGTGTGTGTGTGTGTGTGTGTGT